GGAGCAGCCTCGGAGAGGAAAGCAAGCTCGAATTGGCGATCCTCCAGGACGTCACTGCCGAGGGCAGGAGCACCCCTGACAGACGGAGGACAGGCAGGGTCAGAGACCAGAGCTGTGGCGTAGTCAAGGCGGCGGGTAGAGGCGAAGTCAGCGACCGCAGCGACAAGGGCGTCAAGACGCGAAATCGGAACAGACGGGTCAGTAACAAGCGAGGCAAGGACCTGAGGAACAAGAGGACGGGCAGCACGCAGGTAGTCAAACAGAGGGGGGGGAGCAACGACAAGGGAGGACGGAGGGGGCAACGGGAGAAGGGGAGGACGAGACGCGTGGGAACGAAGCAACATAGGGTGAGAGCGCGAGACAGGGGAGACAGGTCGAGCACGGGAGGGACGGCGAGACCAGACGTGAGACGGAGGAAACCGGTCAGGAGACAGAGGAGGGGACACAAGGGGGGAGCGAGGAGGAAGAGGAGTCAGGGACGAGTCCGGCGGAGGGAACACAGGACCGTAGATGGGAAGAGGAGGAGACGGCAGGAGAGGAACAGACGCAGGGTCAGGGGACGGAAGGCCGAGCAGGCGAAGGGCTGACACCGGCGGGGACTGCTCCTGCGGCGGCACAACACCGACACCGGGACTGCAAGCTGCTCCTCGGCTACCGCCAGAACACTCCACGCCTGCACCCCCAGAAGGAACACCCCCAGAGCCCGAAACCCCTCGAGCACCGGTACCACCCCCAGGGCCACCGGGACTAGTACCCACGCCAACGCCAGCACCCCCAGACTTAACAAACGGCTGCTGCGACGACGGCGGAGGAGACAACGACTGGGGCAGCAGAGGCGACGGCGGCTGCAGAGGCGGCGGAGGAGGAGAAACCGGGGGAGGGGCAGACGGCGAGGACTGCGCCGCAGGACCACCAGAGTCAGAAGACTCCTCGACTGGGACACCCGACGGGAGAGGGGTGACGTCGGACACACCGGAGGGGCCAGGACGGGGAGGGGGAGGGGGGGGAGCAGGGACTACCGGAGAAGGAGTGACCAGGAACAGGAGGAGAGTAACAGGGGGACCGCGGTGGGGGAAGCGACGATAGAAGAAGACGGACTCGTCAAAGGTGACGTCGCGAGAGTGAAAGAACTAGTGAGACGGCGGGTGGTAGAAGTGCCATTCGGACGCGTCAAGGGGGAAACCTAGGAAGATGCAGGGAAGGGTGCGGGCAGTGAGCCTATCCGTGCCAGAGGCACAAATGTGAGCAAGGCAGCCCCAGACGTGGAACGCAGACGCCTCACTAGGAGACCCGGTCCAAAGAAGGGTCGGCGAAACCTGCGGCTGCTGGGGGTGCGGCCACAGGTTAAGCTGGTGAGCAGCGTAGCGCACGACGAACGGCCACAGAAAATGGGGTGCACCAGCATGGATCATGGAGATGCGAGCCACCTCCATGACCAAACCGATGCGTCGCTCAGCGACCCCATTCTAGTGTGGGGAGTCCGGCAGGGTGAACGTCTGGGTGATGCCCTCCGCACGACAGAAGCGACCAAGGACACCTGAGGCAAACTCGCCACCACGGTCGGAGTGAAGGCGCAGTACAGGGAGACCTCGGTGGACACGGGCAGAGACAAGCCAGGGGATGAGAGCAACAGGCACGTCGGCCTTGCACTCTAGGGGAAAGACTGTGGTGTAGCGAGTGAAGTTGTCAACAAGCACGAGGAAGTAACGCTCTCGACGCGGCCCATGGAGGGGGGCGGGGCCCCAGACATCCATGTGCAGGGTCTGCAGCGGCGCGGCGGTAGGGGGAAACGAGGAGGAGTGAGGGGCACGGTGTAGCCGACCCTCGACACAAGGCGTGCAAGGGGGGGCGGGGGAGGAGGGAAAAGCGGGGAACGGACCAGGGAGACCAAGGACGAGACCGTGCTGGGACATGTGACGCAGACGCGGGAGCGCAGGGTGACCTAGGCGGTGGTGCCAAAGGAGGGTCGGGTGAGTGAGGGACCGACAGGAGCAGGCAGCAGCAACCTGGGTAGAGGCAACCACCTGAAGGGGCGTCCCAGCCGGGGGGGTCACGGTGTCCAGGGTGAACAGGCCGGACACCGGGTCCCGGGGGAACGTGGACAGGGGGGCACCAGTGGCGGCCTCGGTACAGACAGCATACCGCTCGTGACCAGGGAACGTAGTGGTGACGCCAAGGTCTTGGAGGCAGCCGGCACCAACTAGGTTTCTGGAGAACAAGGGGATGTGCAGACCTGTGAGAGAGCCTGAAGGAACCACCGGACAGGGAAGGGTAGTGGAAGTGCAAGCGATGACTGGACCGCAGGAGGGGTCAGCAAGAGAAACAGCAGCAGGAACAGGAAGCGGCGTCAGCGTAGTAGAGTTGCGGAAGAAACACCGGGAGGCGCCAGAGTCCAAGGTGAAGGAAAGCGAAGCAGTGGCGTCTGGCGACGGGGCGACGGCAAAAGCACCAAGGCTAAACAAAGCAGGAGCTCCTGCGCCTGACGCAGCAGGGGAGGCAAAGCTAGTCACACCTACACTAGGTGACAAGGAGTAATAAGAGGGGAGCACACTAGAGTCATGAGCATACATCACATGCAGGGCAGAAACAATGGCATCCATGTCCATGTCAAAAATCGGAACTCTACGACTAAGCAAACCGTGCCAGTTCGGGAGGTCGGGCGACGGGCCGAAGCGCTGACGAAACAGGTCGTCCAGGCGACGAAAACAGCGGGCACTGGCGTGACCGATCTTACTAAGCCGCGGCGAGGACCGGTCTGGATCTGGTACTGACAGCGCACGCCTCCCGAACCGCCACCCGGCACACCACCACGCGCACGACCACCACCAGCGCCAGGGCACCCGGGCGGGAGGGCACTCGCCAGCCTCATCTGCGGCGGCTGCTGCGGCTGGTGCGGCTGCTGCAGCAGCTGCAGCTGGTGCGGCTTCTGCGGCTGCTGCTGCTACTGCGGCTGCTGGGGCGGCTGCTCAGCTGGACCTGGCACGGTCCCCTCGTCCGCTCCACCACCACCTCCACTTGCACCCCCACCTCCTCCGCCGCGCCCAGCCTTGGGGCGGCGGCCCTTTCCCGGACGGATCTGCGCTGCAGCGGTGGTCTCAGCCACAGCTGCAGAACCATCGGAGAAGGTGCACTGAGCGGGGGCCCAACCCTGAAAGATAGGGACCGGCACAGTACCGCTCGCCTGGGCGATAGAGCGGTGGCGGGTCTCAATAACAGTCAAGGTGTCTACAAAGTCTGTTAGGGTGAGGTCACCGGGGTGAATGCTAAGGAAGCGGTCACAAGCAGCGGCAAGGCGGTCAGGGAGGCGGGTGGCAAGCAAGTAGAGGGTAGAGGTAAGGGACGGTTGGTGGGCTCTAAGCTGTGCGTCAGTGCAGGCAGTGCGCCAGGTCTCATCGATCGTGCGCAGGTGGGCAGCCAGGTCAGCGACAGTGGGGAAAGACGCAAGGTCAGGAAAGAGCATCGGTAGGATCAGGCGACCCACCAAGGCAGCAGGCGGGGCAGAATAGCGTCGGATAACAGCATCTAAGAAAGCCTGGGCGGTGGTGATAGACCTAAAGCGAGGACGCTCAGACGGGGGGAGGGCATTGCTAATGGCAAGCTGTGCGACAGCGTCACGGGAAAGCCAGACAGAGCGAGCGAGGGCAGCGGCCGCAGTAGACTCGCGCTCAGCAGGTGTGGGGTCAGCGGGCAGCACAGCAGGAGGGTCTGGGCAGGGAAGCGTACCGTCAATGTGTGCCGAGAGCGAGTGGCCATCCTGCCGTTAACCAGTGAGGTGGCGGCGGAGGTCGGCTAGCCACGCCTTGAACTCCAGAGGCTGGCCTTCAGCGTCGAAGCGAAGCTCCGCCGCCATCACGAACAGTGCAGGGCAGGGCCAGGTGAGGCAGTGCAGCACGGTACAGTGCAGTGCAGGGAGGTATAGTGCGGTGCAGTGCGGTACAGTGCGGTACAGTGCGGTGCAGCACGATGCCGTGCGGTGCAGGGGGGGTGCAGTGCAGTGAAAGGTGATGGAGAGCCGTACCAGGGAGGGTGCAGTGCAGTTGCAGGCACGAAGAGCGGGCCGCACGCAGATCGGCGGTAGTCCGGCGGGAAGGTGAGCACGGGGCTGGAGATCGACGGGCAGGGCGCGCGCAGGGGTCGGCAAAACGAGCGCGGGGCCCAGTAGCGGCAGGCGCCGGGCAGGCGAGGACGGGCGCGGGGGCCTGTAGGACGGGCGCGGGGGCCTGTGAGGACGAGCGCGGGGCCGGCTAAGACGGGCGCGGGAGCCGGTAGGACGGGCGCGGGGCCGGCTAGGACAGGCGCGGAAGCCGGTAGGACGGGCGCGGGGGCCGCTAGGACGGGCGTAGGGGCGGTAAGGACGGGCGCGGGAGCCAATAGGACGGGCGCGGGGGCCGCTAGGACGGGCGCGGGGCCGGCTAGGACGGGCGCGGGGGCCGTTAGGACGGGCGCGGGACCAGCCAGGACGGGCGCAGGGCCAGCTAGGACGGGCGCGGGGGCCGTTAGGACGGGCACGGGGGCCGGTAGGACGGGCGCGGGGTCGGCTAGGACGGGCGCGGGGGCCAGCTAGGACGGGTGCGGGGGCCAGCTAGGACGGGCGCGGGGCCAGCTAGGACGGGCGCGGGGGCCGTGAGGACGGGCACGGGGGCCAGTAGGACGGGCACGGGGTCGGCTGGGACGGGCGCGGGGACCGCTCGGACGGGCGCGGGGCCAGCTAGGACCTGCGTGGGGCCAGTAGGACGGGCGCGGGGGCCGTTAGGACGGGCACGGGGGCCGGTAGGACGGGCGCGTGGCCAGCTAGGACGGGCGGCTAGGGCACGGCTAGATCCTAGAGCGGACGCGTGGGCGGGGGCGGGACCTACCCACTGCTGATACCATCTTAGAACTGAATGAATGATTGAGTAGAGAGAGAGTACAAGTGAATATAGCTAAGTGTTGTACCCTCTAAGAGGTGACCCTATACAGTCTATACAAACATAAAAGATACATATGTTTGACAGGTTTCATCAAGCTCGAACATTTCCAATTCAATCAGACTGCAATAACAAGGACTATAAACCATAAAACTATACCATGCGATGTATCGCAAGTTTGATGACCAGCTGTCATCTAAAAATAAAAATGTCACACTGCAACCTTTGGCTTTAGATGTAACTTCCCGAATCCCTATTCAACCCACACATGCCGTGTTATTACCAAGAGCTACGGTACATGGCACACCCTGCAACCTTGGGGCAGGAATGTATCTGAGCAGAGGCTCCCTGCGGTGGATTTGGCACTTAACTAGTAGCCAAGAATCTTAGTAGGCAAGTCCAGCAGCTGTGGCAGGGCAGAGGGGTCGAACTTTCTTGCAAACAGGAAGCACGTGCGATTCTCCCCATCCTTGGAGCACGGGAGGGTGTAGGACTGCAGGAGGGTGAATGGGTAAAAAGGGGGGGAGGGAAGAGGGGGGAGGTAAAGGGAGGGAGAGGGAGGGGGATGCAGACAAGGTATACATAAGGGAGGAGGGGTGGTTATCGAAAGGGTGAACTGCAATGTGGTGTGAGATACTGACATGGTGTGCAAAGGTACCGAATTAGGTGCAAAAACAAGTGATGGCAAGGCAAGAAGGGAGAGCGTTTCCTGAGGGCTACTCACGCTTTGTGGGGTTTCATCATCAGGTTCCACAACGTTCCGATGCATGTACATGCGCGGCTTCTGAGGGAGGGAAGACGCAGATGCAGAAACGCAACAGATGCAGGGAGAAGCATGGCAGGGAGCATGGCAGGAGGCAGTTAGAGAGGAAAGAAACGGCATCAGCAATAGAGGAAAGAAACAAATTGCATATGGGCATAAATACATGACAATGTTATCATAGAAGTAGTGACCATTCTTGCATATGTACACCGGTGTACAAGGGCTAGATGTGCACATAAGTTACAGTGACATGTTTTTGAGAGTTTCCAGGGCTAAAGGTGCACATACAGTGATATAGCGGATTAGGCTGGGTCGAGTGAGGAAGGGATCGAAGGTGCGGGGATGGGGTGAGTTGAGTGGGAAGTCCACGTAAGTGATGGTGCGATTGGCCATATGCTCAGGATCCTTCAGCTGCAAAGGGGATAAAAGGAATTCGAAGGGCGGAGGGGGAAGGGGAAGGGGTGGAGAGGAAGGGAGCGTTTGTTGAGAAGAGATAGGAGTTGAGCGGTGTGTAAGTGGGTGGAGCCCAGTTTCTGGAATGTCACCGAAAAGGAAGCCAATTTCTTATGCTCGTCTGACTGCTCGTCTAACTCACGTTCAATAGAGTTGGGATGTAATGCTCGTCTGAATAGCACTCATGATGTTGGATGTCGCCCTGTAATGAGGCACAGCAGAAAGAAGCAACCCACATAAGATGGGTGATATAAATTATTTGAGAACCACGCTTCACCAAGAGATTCTGAAAAGGAGGATCAAAATACAGTAGGGAAAGGGGACAGTAGTGTAACTGACAATCCTGGAGCAAGAAAGAAGCACCATGATTATAACCATGAGAATGGTTTGAAGATCACTTACCCGGCAGTAGATTTGAAAGAGCTTATGCACGTCAACGTCGTCAATGATCATGCTGGCATGCTTGCGTGTAACTGAAAACCACTGGAGCGAGGACAAAGAAGACAGAAAGATGGAAGACGTTTGATTTTGTGCGGGGTGGCACATAACCCTGGGTAATTTGGGCACTCGTGATGTTGATATGGAATTAGTATGAGAAATGCATTATTTGCTCACCTGAGACGCTTTTCTCCACTTCTCGAGAGGAATCAATGGAGCCATGCGTTCATCATGTCTTCCTGTACACACATACGTGTTTGTAGTGAAGCTGCCAATAGAAGGGCCAAGTGCAACAAAAGGGAATGGCGTTATGTGAGACAACTGTTACATGCGTGACTCAGTAGCAATGTGGATCACAACGACAGATGAACTCATACCACAATAACAGTGCACTTAGAAAAAAAAAAAAAAGATTGCGCTTGCCTACCTTGAAACGAAGCTGTAATCTGTTCCAAGAAGGTATCTCCAGGCGAATCTGAAGCTCTTAACGGGGATGCACCTGCAAGCAACGATAGCGATGCGCAGACAGAACCGAGTGTTTAGGGACAATTGTGGAACGAGATTCAGATTCTCACACCGAGAAATACCACGACGCCGGGAAGGAAAAGAGTGGGACGCAAAAGAGCGGCACTTACGATTCGGAAATCAGCACAAAATTGTGATTGGCTGGGTCCTTGAGCGCCGCGGCAATCAGCCGCCGTTCCGCGTCAATCATCGTGGGCGATCCCCACGACACCTGGGGAAACCGGACGAGAGCGGCGAGGGAAGGGTCATATGTGAGTTGTGAATTGTCGAGGTTCAGCACGGTTAATCGGGCTACGGTACGGGCCTATGTTGGACTTGCCATCTAATTTCAGGTTTACCCAAAAATCACCTTGACGAAAAAGAAATTAAAAAAAAAAAAAAAAAAAAAAAAAAAAAAAAAAAAAAAAAAACGCACCGCTTCGCTGCGGATGGTATTGTTGCGGAAGAGCGCGGAGGCGTTCTTTGGGAACACGTAGCCCGGCGTCGTGTGCACGTAGATGGAGTAGCTACCCTCGTGACCCTGCGGGTGGCACGCCGGGGAGGTGGTATTGGAAAGCCAGGTTATTATGATGCTTTGGCACTTGGGGAACACGTAGCCCGGGGATGCTTTGCATGTAGATGGATTAGCTTCCCCTGTGGCCCTGGCCCTTCGATAGAGGCACATGGCGGGAGAATGACACAAAGGCGGGAATTGCTGGGGGTTAGATGGCAGGAAACGAGAAGAATAGTGATGAAAAATCAAGTAGGGAAGGGAGGGGTGAAGAGGGGGGGAGGAGGGGGAAAGGTTGGCGGTGGGAAAGGGGAAGGGGGGGAAGGTTGGCGGTGGGAAAGGGGAAGGAGGGGAAGGTTGGGGGTGGGGGAGGGGAAGTGGGGGGAGAAGTGGAAAGCGAGAATACAGGGCAGCCATGATTTGGAGAAAAGGACGCGTTAGGCGAGCTTACCTTGAAGTATCTCTCCCACAGCTTGGCGTGCGGAATGGGCCCCTTGGTGAGGAACATGAACGCCACTTTGCGGTACTTGTGCTTCACGCGACTCGCCGCCTTCTCGCGCTCCGCCCTCGTTCTGCGAAGCTCGCGAAACATCGCCTCGTCTTCCGGCGAAAGCTTCAATTCGCGAAACACGTCCTCCTCTTCGCTAGCTTTGTTCGCGCTGGTAGATTCAGATCCCTTTTCGCTGTCGCCCTGCGACATGTCCGCTTCCTCCTTCTCCTCCTCGTCATCATCTTCGCCGATTTCGTCTTCCTCGTTACCAGCAGTGACCTTCGCTACCTTTCGCGAGGAGCGAGATGAGGACTTTCGCGAACGCGCGAGCTTGCGCTCTTTCGCCAGCACCTCCGCCGGCAGGCCCCTCTGATCATCGTCCACCTCCTCCGCCTCCTCTTCCGCCTCCTCTTCCGCATCCGCCTCGGCATTTTCCCCGTCACCCTTCCCGCTTGCCGCTGTTTGCCCCTCGCTTTCCGCCGTCTGGCCCTCCCCCCTTGCGCCTTCCGCAGATTCCGCGGTGATTTTCCCGCCGCTTAATCTCAGCGCACTTCCTTCCCCAGAGACTTGTCGCGACAGCTGCTTGGATTCAGCCGCAGCCTTCTTAATCTGCGGGCGAAGGATCGCGCTGATGCTCTCGGAGCCACCACCTAAGCTGCTGCTCCAGCCAGCCTTGCTGCGGCTGCTCTCGCCACCGCCAACAGCTCTGCTAATCTCTCCCTGCCGGCTTCCGTCGCTTCTCTTGCCTCTGCTGGTGGACGGGCTCCCGGAATCCGCGTCTGCGCTCGGTCCGCGCAGTTTAAGGACGCTGATAGGCTGCACTTCGACGCGCAGACCCTCCGGCTCATCCAAGCCGTCGGATTCGATGATTACGCGAGTCGTGGCTTTTCCGCCGACGATTGACGTCAGCAGGTCCGCGTCGCCGATAGCAAGCTCCGCGGGATTGGTGGTGGGCGACGCTGCGAGATAGGCGAGGAAAATGAGGAGGACGATTGCGACAGGGCTGGCGAAAATTATCATTCGCGTGGCCAGACCCTGCGACTTGACGGCGTGAAGAAGCGCCGCCATTGTCGGGGACTTGCTCGGGGACTTGCGTTCAGCCGTATCCGGCAAACGTAGTCGAGTGCTGAAGCACACGGCTGTGGCGCACAGCTGTAGCGGATAGGCGCAGTTAACGCCAACGGGAAAGTGACCCGAAGTACGAAGCGATCCGAAAGAAAAGACCAGTAGCTAAGAGCGCGTTACTCTGAGAAACGCTGACCGCCACATGTTGGGAGCCTGCTTGAATCTCACACGACAGTCGTGATCTAGCGCGTAGAAGAAATATATTGCGTGAGGAGCGGATTGAGTTTTCTTAGGACAGCTGCAGAGTGTTGGTCTGAAAAGAGAGAACACTAGAATCGTCGCACAGATTTTCCCCGGAAAATTCTTCCTGCCTAGCGTAGACGACGGAACGATTGGTCCTCAACGCAAGAGACACCGCGAGGTAAAAGGGAACTTGACGTCTAACAAGCGAGCTCAACTGAACTGATGGCAGACTTCCCGAATGAGAGTTCAGCAACCTCACAGGTATGCCAAGTGTACCAGGTGGGACCTAGGTGACACTGGAGCTGCGAATTTGTTGGTTCAGGAGCAGCGCCCAACAAGCTCGCAGGACAGGAAACGCCGCTGGCACACGCTTGTGAGAGAAGAGCACCTCGTCAGCCGTAAGCACGATGCTGCTCGAAGAGAGTGAAGGGGGACACGTCATAAGCATTCACGTTCTTCTCCATTTGCACGGTTGAGTACGCTTCTCTACGTTTACAATTCGGGTTTAAAAGGTTCATAGGATGGTTAAAAGGTACATAGGATGGTTAAAAGGTTTAAAGCGCTGGTAACACGCCCTGCAGGCGGCAGGGGCGCATTTCATGCATCAACGCAAACATTTCAAGTCGCATCGCACGGTTTCACATGACTGCACTATGGCTTTCCAATTTCTGGTGGTATGGGGAGGAATCTTCACGTTCGCTCGGAGCGCGGTGCCCGCAGCGCGGCTTGGCATCACGACGGACAGATCCGCGCGGCTTGCGAAGTTTCCACGGACCTGGGCGGATCGCTACCCTGGGCTGTGCTCGTATTGGCGAGCAACAACCCAGCCTTGGGTCTTGATACTGGAACACTGTAGGTTTGCCTTGCGTCGCACGATCTGGCCATACGCTTGACGCTTGCAAAAGGTCGCAGGCGAGCGCACCCTCCGATTTGTGGTGATTTACAGCCAGTCAAAACGTTTTATATGCCCGCTACATGCTGTCCGTCCATCTTACCAAGGTTCCAAGCGTTTTCGGAATTCTGTCTAAACACCATCATTGAGCCCAAGGAATTTCAACCCATGCCCAACGCTATTCTTGGACACAGCACTAAATACTAGCCAGTTCACAAGGAGATGTCAAGGAGCGAATTTACACAAAAAAAAAAAAACGTATGCTACTTCTGACCAAAAGCCCTGCTTATAGACATGGGTATGAAAAGCTGCTACTGCAAACCACTACTCTTTTCTGATTGGTGCCACCGCACCAGCCCAGCTTCCACGACTGGGAGAGTGACTGGTTATCGCCAAGAAGTCGCATATCGAACCACCACATGTCGCATGACCTGTTGAGCATGTAAAGGATGCCTCGATGCATTGCACGACACTCTCTTGTTCTCTCAGAGGGCGCGTTTCCACGTGACAAATGGTCACGCTACTTCGTTTCAAAATAGTATTGACGGGCAAATATTTCGGGCAAATTACCGAATGACACGATTTAGCGTGACATCGTGTCACTTAGGGCGCGCCCTGATTCTGAATGGGATAGGTTAAATTGTAATGAAAATTTCAGTGGACACAAGCAAGATACAACGCATAAAGGAATGCTCATTGCATGCACGCAAGGACACAACCTACATCATCCTTGAGTTGCCATTCCGCCATGCCTCGTCAAACATGGTTTTGAGTAAGAACGTTCATTCCAAAGCACTCAGTATCCTAAAACATCCTCAGGGAGAGACAGAAGCGCAGGAAGGGCGCTGGGGGGAAACTTGCGAGCAAATAAAAAGCAGGTGCGCTTCTTCCCACTGAGGGAGCAGGGAAGAGTGTATGCCTGCAGGCAAGTCAACAAGCAAGGACGAAGCGATGAAGTGGTGGAATACGAAACATACTCACCCTCCATCCCTCTATCTTCCCCCCCTCCACTCCCCCCCCCCACACATCCATGTCCCCTCTCCACCCTCTACTCCCCCCTCGTCGCACTACCTGCCTTCCCCACCCTCCTTTGTAAATGAATCCAAGTGGCAACATCAAGCACTTACACTTTGAGGAATCTTATCCCGATGCTCCTGATATAGATTGTAGAGGGGTAGGGGAGAGAGAAGGGCCACACGAGGGCAACACGGGGAACAAGAGGGGCATACAAGCCATCAACGTGAACCACACAGGGAATTAGGAATCTTGGAATTGTTACATTTTTGTGCGAGAAAACATTAAGCAGGCTCAGATTTCGTTACCTTTCCACGTAGATAATGAAGGTACGGGAAGATGATGGAGATTCGAAATTAGGGACCAAAACGTGAGGCATGCGTATGAAAGGCCATGAGGGAAACTAAGGGAAAATACTGGTGTGGCAAACTTTGAGCAGTGGGTTGGGGCTGTTGGAATAAAACTGAAGGTAGCTGTCCGTAGAGTAGATGTACCGAAAGAAGATGCCGAGAGAGGAGAGAGAGAGAGAGAGAGAGAGAGAGAGAGAGAGAGAGAGAGAGAGAGAGAGAGAGAGAGAGAGAGAGAGAGAGAGAGAGAGAGAGAGAGAGAGAGAGAGAGGGAGAGAGAGAGAGAGAGAGAGAGAGAGAGAGAGAGAGAGAGAGAGAGAGAGAGAGGACTCCTCACACGGATAGCCCTCATCAGAGGACTCCGCCCCCCCCGTCTCCGCTGCTTCTGCCCCCCCCTCGACTCCTGTCGGCGAGCCCATCGCCATACGGGGAGGAACAAAGGGCGCGGCAGCCCGCGCGCCGAAGGACGGCGGAGCGATTGGCTGCCGCTGGCCTTCGTACCAGCCCACCGCCAATGCCCCCACCACCGGCGGCTGCCAGCTTGGCAGCGTCCCCATGGTCGGCACACCCGTCGGTGCAGCCGGTGTGTCGGGCGCGAGGTGATGATGGGGCAGCTGCCGGGCCTGGTACCAGGGGGCAGACGGCGGAGGCGGCTGACGATGCTCCTGACAGGGCGGCGGCTGTGGCGCCGCGGACACGGGCGCCGGAAGAGGTCGAAACGGTACTTGCAGCGGGACAGAATACGGAGGAGGCACTATCGCGGGCGGAATCTGCGGCGGGGGACACACGCTCGGGGGCTGAGGCGGTGCTACCGAACGGAACAGGTTTTCTAAGGTCGCAGCAGCGCGACCCAGCCGCCTCTCTGCAGCCGAACCTCGCCCGTTGCCCCCTCCGGCCCTCCACCCGCGGTGCGGACCAGACTGCCCACGCTGCCCCTGCGGCGTCCGGCGCTGCTGGGCGGGAGCCACTTGAACCCCCCGCTGGGGTGTTCCTCGACGCGGCGGGACCAGCGGAGGCTGCTGCTGCGGAGGCTGCGCCGCCCCCGGCTGGTCTTGGCTCTCACGCTCGAGGGCCTTCTGCTCGCGACGTGCGGGGGACGAGCGGCGGCTGCCCGACAGACGCTCTGGGGTCTGCTGGCGGCTCGTTGACGAGACGGGGAATCCGCGCTCCCAACCGTGGTTCGCAGGCGGTGAGGAACTCGCCCGATCTCGGCGGGGGACGCTCTCCCCCATGCTCTCCAAATCAAGGGACCATTCGCGACGGGGACGCCCGACTCCCACCACATTTCGGGGTGGCTCCATTGACGGCCCGGACGCCCCCCACGGCGTCGCCCGTGCCTCGGAATGGTCAGCGAGCGTCGGGCGGAGTGGCTGCGCCACGCAGTGGAAGCCGGGACCAAAGAGGTCGAGGGCGCGGCCGAGGACGGACAGGCGTCTTGTCTCGGGATGGTGGCCCGCTGAACGACTTCCAGCAGGCTGCTAACCGGGCTTTAAGGGAGGGAGGGCAGAGGGAGGTAACTGACGAGGAAGAAAGACGAGACGCATCTTATGTACCGGAGAGGATCCAGGACTCATCAACGGAGGAATCCAGCGCTGCTCTGGAGGAGAGAACTTTGTCACGCAGGCGAGGCGGGAATCCGTCCCCATCGCTCAGATCCCGCGGTCACAGACCTGTGAACACAGCCACCAGGCTCTCCCGCCCAGGCTGCCAGAGGGAGTGCGCGAAATACGCGTCCCTCCCGCGCCAGTAGTACGCCAGATATCCAGAACCCACGGCAGTTTTCGCCACAGGAGTTGTCGTCCAACGAATCCCTGTTCGCCGGGGTGGCGGGATGGGATATCGACCTGCTTTGCGACAGTCGCCAGCCCCCAATTTCCCGCAGAATCCCCCCCAAACTTCGTCAGCTCTTCGCCCAGGCACTCCTGACACCTCTGCTACACATCGCACACAGCCCAACCAGCCTCGCAGGTTGGCGCCTGTTACTTTTCGTCCCTCGCCTAACCCTTCGCCTGCACTCGCCCAAGCACCCAGACTGGGCCTCGGTGGAAAAACGACTGCAGCAGTTCCTCGCGGGCGATTGGCAGGCGCTGTACCTGTCAGCAATCGATGCTGTGCATAACCCCCCCGCACCTCGCCACATGCCGGACTCCATCGGCAGGCAAAAGCGGGCAGAGGGGCTTGTCCGCCGTGGCAGTCTCCGACGTGCCCTCCTGGCACTGGACTCGACCCCGGTCAGCGATTCAACTCCCGACGTCCTCGAGGCACTGAAGTCCAAGCACCCCGCTCCGTTGACCGAGTCAATCGCCTGGCCCATCCTCGACGAGTCAGAGGCGGTCCCCTCGTTTTCGCGCTTCGAGCACATTCGCGAAGCCGCCCTTGCCAACAACTCAGTCGCTGTCAAATTGCATGAGCTCGCATTACGCCTGCTCAAAGGGGATTCCACAGCTGAAATCGCCGCCCTTCTCACCGCCAGTCGCCTAATCGCATTCCCCAAGCCCGGAGGCGGTACGCGACCTATTGCCATAGGCGAGTGCCTGCACCGCCTCGTGGCGAAGGCGGGCCTCCTCACCATGACGGCACAGGCGCAGTCTCATTTCCTCCCGCTGCAGTTCGGGGTGGCAGTACGCACGGGCGGCGAGGCGATCGTCCACGGAGCCCGCGCATACACATCCGAATTCCCGTCCGCCCTCGTACTCCAGGTCGACGTGTCAAACGCCTTCAACAGCGTTGACAGAGCCGCGATAGTGGCAGGCCTCTTCAACTCACCCCTCCGGCCGCTTCTCCCCTTCGTCAAACTCTCCTACGGAGCACCGTCGCGTCTCTACCTAGACGCGGGATTCTGCAGCGAACCCCTCCTTAGCGCCCGGGGTGTTCGTCAAGGGGACCCCATGGGTCCCCTGCTTTTCGCGGCGGCTTTACACCCGGCACTTCAGGCGACAGCCTCGGCGTTTCCTAGCGTGCTCTGCCTCGCCTACGCCAACGACATCACGCTGCTTGGAGAGCCGTCGGAATGCGCGTCGGCATTCACCCATCTCACGGAGGCCCTACGCCCCTTGGGCCTCGAGCACAACCCTTCCAAGTGCGCGGCGTGGTCAGCTTCCCAGCCCCCCAGCCTCATACTCCCCCCAGGCATCCCCTTCCGCACTGATGGCCTGCGCATCCTCGGAAGCCACCTCGGCCCCACTGAAGCCACAGCCGCTTTCCTTCGGGAGCAGCTGGCCGACATGGCCAGACCGCTCCCCGACCTGGCAACCATGGACCCCCAAGCTGCGGGCCTTCTCCTCCACCGATGCGTCTCAAGACGCGTATCCTATCTCACCCGCACCACCCCCCTTGACTCGCTGCCGTCCGAGGAATGGTCCAACTGGGGACAGAAGCTCTTCCACACCCTCCTCCTCTCGTGCAAATTTCAGCTCCCACGGGGCGAACAGGAGTGGTCGCGCACGTGGCACCAAGCCTCCCTGCCCCCCTCCCTTGGCGGCCTCGGCCTCGCGGACCCCGCAGTAGAGGGCCCGCACGCCTTCCTCACCAGCGTCACACAGGCCCACCGGCTGCTCATATCCCTTCCTTCGGACCCGACAGGCCCACTCGCTGCAGCGGCCTGCTTCTTGGCCCCTCCCTTCATCGGACCCTCGCGTCTCCATACCTGGCTGGCGAAATGCGAGTCGGCCCTCCCAGCTCCAGCCCTGGCGCTCCTGCAGGCCGAACGGACTGAGCCCTCGGACGATCCTCTCCAGCACCGGCTGGCCTTGGAGGTACACGCAGCCCGCTTTGCTCGACAATTGGCTGCGTCAAGGGAGATGGACCCCAACCCCCTCAGCGGCCACACCCAGCGGCTCCTCTCCCTCACTGGGTACGGCGCCGGCGACTGGCTCCTCACCATCCCCCTATTCCCATCTCTTCGGCTGGCGCCGCCTCACTATGCCATCGCTCTGGCATTCCGTATGGGCCATCCTTTCCCGGCACCCAGGGTCTGCAACTATGCCCAACAGGTCGCGATCATCGACCCCCGCCTACCAAACCACCTCCTCCGTTGCGGGACGGGACATGGCCGCACCGACACCCACAACGCCCTCCGAGATGAGTGCGTGCGCATGGGGCGAGACGCACGGCTCATAGTCACGAAAGAAACGGCGATCTACAACCCTGTCGACGGCAAGACCGCCGACCTGGCCATACGTGACCGGGACTCGGGGGCGGTCTGGATCTGTGATGTCACCGTCACCGACCCAGTCAGCTCCCGGGACCCGCTAGCGCGCAAAGGCCGCGGTTACATGGCCCGGGAGCAAGCGGACAAGAAGATCGACGAATACCGCCACCGGGCAGCATACGTCGGTTTCTTCCCCCTCGCAGTCGAGAAGTATGGCTGCCCATGCGCCGAAGTGCCAACCTTCCTTAAACTCCTCGCACACACGGCCGCCCGCCGCCTTTTCAATGCCGACCCCAGCTCCTACCAGGCGGCTAAACTGCTCAGCCAGTTCCGCCAGCGCTGGTCAGTCACCGTCCAGCGGGGTCAAGCCCTCACCTACCTCGGGAAGGTGAATGAGGCTTCGCCACTTGAGGGGCCGCCCCTAGGTGCTCCTGAGGCGGGCATGTCCCTCGGGGACTGCTTCGCGGTCATTGAGCACCCAAGGGAATAGCCAGGGACTAGGAGCTAGACCAAGAATACCATGCATGCTTGTACCCACCTTATATGCCTCGCCTGTACCCACGATCTCCCAGCAATGAAGGACCGTTCGAGAAAGAGAGAGAGAGAGAGAGAGAGCTGTGGGGCGCTCTGTACCACGTACCTGACACCCTCGGGAAAATATCCCGAGCCGAGGGGCTGGTGCGCCGCGGTAGCTTGCGACAAGCACTGCTCGCATCGACTTCAACCCCAGTTAGCGAGTCCACCCCTGCTGTCCTGGATGCGCTGAATCAAAACACCCCCCCCCGCTAGCCGAAGACCTTAACTGGCCGCAGCTGGGCGAGGACTACAGACCGCCGACAATCGACTTCGCTGTTTTTGCGAAGCTCCTCTCTCGCTGCGAAAATGGGGTTGGAGCGGGGCCATCGGGAATGACTTTCGAGCACCTTCTCGATGCCTCCCTCACCAACCCCTCAATCGCCAGGCACCTCCACGAGCTCGTCCAGCGCCTTCTCGCGGGTAACCTTCCGCACGAGGTCAGCCAGCTCCTGACCTCCTCACGCCTCCTAGCACTCACCAAACCAGATGGAGGTACTCGCCCCATCGCTATCGGCGAGTGTCCGCATCGACTGGCGGCTAGATCCGCACTCGTCCCTTCAACACAACCGGCACAAACCTACTTCCTCCCACACCAATTCGGGGTGGCAATCAGGAGCGGAGGAGAGATAATCATCCACGCCACCAGGGGCTTCACCTCCGCGCGCCCAGGATCGCTGATCCTGCAGGTCGACCTCACAAACGCGTTCAACAACGTTGACCGCGGGGCTATCATTTACGCCATCAACCACTCGCCCCTGCGCCCCCTCCTACCGTTCATACAGTTCTCGTATGGGGCACTGTCCCTACTTTACCTCGACGCGGAGTTCGGTGGCCCACCCCTACTAAGCGCGCGGGGAGTTCGACAAGGGGACCCTATGTGCCCCCTCCTGTTTGCGGCCGCCATCCACCCTGCGCTCCAGGTCACCGCGCAAACCCACCCCGGGGTCCTCTGCCTTGCTTACGCAGACGATGTGACCTTCTTGGGCGACCCAAGGGCCTGCACCTCGGCGTTCCTAGACTTCACCGCTGCCATGGAACGCATCGGCCTCTCCCACAACCCCGCGAAATGCGCGGCATGGTCCGCCGAGCGCCCCGCGACTAACTGCCTTCCGCCAGACATACCCTTCAACGGCGAAGGGGTCCGCGTGCTGGGCAGTTTATAGGCACACCAGAAGGCACAGCCGGTTTCCTCCGCACCCAGCTCGCCGTGCTCGCCGAACCCTTGGCCACACTGGCCACGATGGACCCACAGTCTTCCTCACTCCTCCTCACACGCTGCGTGGCCAGGCGCGTCTCGTACCTAACCCGCACCACCCCCCTGGATTTCCTGCCCCTAGAGGCCTGGTCCGAGTGGGGCAGGGAGCTATTTCACACCATGCTACGCGCCTGCAACCTCCAGCCACCACGGGGCGAGTCGGAGCGGGCGCGTACCTGGGCCCAGGCATCTCTCCCTCCCTCTCTCAGAGGGCTGGGCTTCACCGATCCAACGATTGAAGGGCAACCAGCTTTTCTCACCAGCGTTACCCAAGCTCAGGGCCTCCTAGCTGCCCTCCCAGTGGCGACCAGAGGGCCTCTGGCCGATTCTGTACGCCACCTCACACCACCCTTTACCAGCCCCACCCACCTGCATACCTGGCTGGCGAGGTGCGAGTCGGCGCTGCCCCCGCGGGCCTTGGAGCTTCTACGATCCGAGCGAGGGGAACCCTCGGGCTCCCCTCTCCAACACCGCCTGTCCCTCGAGGTTCAGGCCGTGCGATACGCCGACCAAGTGGCAGCATCGCGGGCAATGGACCCAAACCCATACTTCGGCCACACGCAGCGCCTCTTCTCCCTGGCCGGGTATGGAGCGGGAGATTGGATCCATGCCATCCCCATCTTCCCCTCCCTCCGCCTCGAAGCCCCCCACTTCGCCATTGCCCTAGCCTTCCGCCTCGGCCTCCCGTTCCCGGCTCCCCGCATCTGCAACTGCGCCGAGGAATTCGAAATCCTCGACACACGGCTGCCCAATCACCTCTTTCGGTGTGGCACCGGGCACGGGCGGACAGACACCCATGATGCCCTACGGGATGAGAGCATCCGGATGGCCCGGGATGCTGACTTCATAGTCACTAAGGAGACAACCATCTACAGACCTGTCGACGACCACAAGGCCGACCTCGCACTTCGCGACCGCAGCTCCGGCGCCGTCTGGATTTGCGACGTCACCGTCACAGACCCCATCAGCAGCCGGGACCCGGATGCACGGAAGGGACGAGGGTACATGGCCCGAGAGCAAGCTGACAAGAAGATCTATTACTACCGCAACCGGGCCCCCTACGTTGGTTTCTTCCCACTGACGGTCGAGACGTACGGCTGCCCCTGCGCCGAAGTCCCGACCTTCCTGAAGTTGCTAGCGGACACAGGGGCCAGGAGGCTCTTCAATGCGGACCCCAGTTCCTACCAAGCAGCAAAACTGCTCCATCAGTTCCGCCAGCGCTGGTCAGTGACGCTCCAGTGGGCGCAGGCCTTGGCTTACCTGGGCAAGGTTAACGAAGCCTCCCCTGCCCCCCACAACCCCGTGGATACCCCCGACGCCGACATGGCTCTAGGGGACTGCTTTGCCGTGGCAGAGCCCCTAGGGGAGCTTGAGTAGGCTAGGGTCCCTTAACATGCACGTACCTTGCCTTGTTGCCTCCTGCCTGCCTAGCCTGTACCCCGGTATCGAGCAATAAACGGACCGCTTGAGAGAGAGACTCACCACCACATTAAAAAGGCTGTAATCCAGGGGTTCCTGGAGGGGGGCAGAGAGTAGGATGGGGGAGAGCAAGCGTGGAGACCACAGAAAAGGTTGGCTAGACAGAGAGAGAGATGCTCCCCACCACCATCGCATTATAAAGGCTGTAATCCAGGGGTTCCTGGAGGGTCAAAGCGCATGCAGAAGGTCGACAAAGGAGGAGAAGCACAGCAATTGCAATGAACAGGGGGGGGGCTGGGAGGTGGGAGGTGGGAGGCGGGAGCCAAGGAGTCAAAGAGACATGGAGGGAGGAGAGCACGGGAAGAGACAGGGAATGCATGAGACGGGGAGACGCACGCACAGTTGTATTTTGAGTTGTATTTTGAGTCGACTTGTATTTTGAGTCGACTTAAAATAGCATGGGAAGAGACAGGGAATGCATGAGACGGGGAGACGCACGCACAGCAATTCGTGAGGAGTCTATTTTTGAGGCGCCTCAAAAACAGGGAATGCATGAGACGGGGAGACGCACGCGCAGCAATCGCAATTGACAGGGGTGGGCTGCGGTGCAACTCGTATGGCATTTGAGGCGCCTCAAAAGGGATCTCATGAAACGAGGAGAGGCATAGCAGTTGCAATCAACAGGGGTGGGCTGCGGTGCAACTCGTATGGCATGGGAGGATCGTGCGTCCGTCTGTGAGTTGGAGTTTCAGTGTGCCATAAGGATTTTTGAGGCACCTTGAAAATAAACGCATCATGCCTCCGTGAGCCGGTGTTTCAGTGTGCCATAATTATCACACCCCATATTCCATGGCTCGTGATGTGAGTCGTGACCTATGTCCGCACTGCATGTACGATCACACGAGCACACACCATACCACACCATACCACACCACACCACACCACACCACACACACGCCTTGCACACTCGCACTTATGTTTTGGAGAAGCTCCTCAGTGATAAGTGAGGAGGGACGCGGCAGGAGGGAAGCGGGGTGCTGCTGCAACCTGCAGGGGAGGGAAGTCGACCACACCCACCACTCATGCACACCCACCCACACATCGCACATGTACCCACGGGTCGTCGTCACTCATGGTCTTCGATTGGATTCCATCGCACATGTACCCCCTACTCACAGTGATGCTTTTGAGTCGACTCAAAATACTCACAGTGATGCTTTTGAGTCGACTCAAAATACTCACAGTGATGCTTTTGAGTCGACTCAAAATACTCACAGTGATGCTTTTGAGTCGACTCAAAATACTCACAGTGATGCTTTTGAGTCGACTCAAAATACTCACAGTGATGCTTTTGAGTCGACTCAAAATACTCAGTGATGCTTTTGAGTCGACTCAAAAGTCATCGCACATGTACCCCCTACTCACAGTGATGCTTTGGAAAAGCTCCTCTGTGATTTTGGGCGGCATGAAGGACGTGGGATGCTTCCGCCAGGAAGGGAAGTCTGACCCCCCACACACCCCCTATCATCCCAACACACATACAGCCTTCCACACTCACAGTGATATCTTGGAAGCGGTGCTCCTCGGTGCTGTCGGGTGGCAGGAAGGACGCGGGGTGCTGCTGCAGGGAAGGGAAGTCGACCACACCCACCATTTATGCACACCCACACACACCTCGAACAAGTACAGCCTTTACTCACAGTGATGTTTTGGAAAAGCTCCTCTGTGACATTGGGCGGCAGGAAGGACGTGGGGTGCTGCTGCAGGGGAGGGAAGTCCACATAGGTGATGGTGCGGTTGGCCACCCGGCCCGGGTCCTTGATCTGCCCATGGGCACACAGAAACAAGCAAAAAACAAAGTCAGTCACACACAAACAAAGTCAATCACACACAAACAAAGTCAGTCACACACAAAGTCAGTCACAAACAAAGTCAGTCACACACAAAGTCAGTCACAAACAAAGTCAGTCACACACAAAGTCAGTCACACACAAAGTCAGTCACACACAAAGTCACACACAAACAAAGTCAGTCACACACAAAGTCAGTCACACACAAAGTCAGTCACACATAACCACGCACAGTAACACCCACCCCCCACACACACGTTTTCTTGCAAGACCATAGAACAAAAGGGCGCCTCAAAACACGTGCAGTTGCATGCCATAGGAAGACCAGCACAGGCAGGACAAGCACAGGGTAGTTCTTGAGTCGTGGCAAAAAGGGAGGGAGGCCCACATAGGTGAAACATTCTTATCGAGAAGGCAGGAGAGTTACAGAAGAAGAAGGGGACTGCACGTTAAGGAGGGTTAGGATGCAGTGCTTGCTGGCATTTGAGTCGACTTAAAAAGCACACATACACACACAGGTGACAATACTCTAAGCAAGAAGGCAGGAGAGTCACGCATGAAGATGGGGACCGCACATTGAGGAGGGTTGGGATGTAGTGCTCGTCAGCGTAGCAGTGGTGATGCCACTTGTCACCCTGCGATTCGCAAAGGGCGCGAGAGGCGAGGCACGGAAGGAGGGCCGACAATAAGAAGAAGAGGGCAGTTCAAGAGCAGGTGATGACACAGTCGAAAGAGAGATACATTAAAAAAGAGATACAATCATAAGAGAGATACATACAAAAGGGCTGGGAGCAGGCCTAAACCCTACGACTTAGCAAGGAAAGACGCGAAAGGCGGCTTTAACTAAAAAAAAAAGACCTCGAGACTTGTGTTCTGCTCTCTAAAATACCTCTCTCAAGGACGACTCACTCTGCAGTACTTTTGGTTTTGTGTTGACTCAAAGGCGATTGGGGGCTTGAGATTCAGAGCCACTGTTTGAGTTCAGCTGGTTTTTGAGAATTCTCAAAAGCCAACTTTCCTCATCTGGAGCTTGAGAGTCAGTGTCACTGCTTGAGTTCTAGAAAGCCTCTCTCAAGAACGACTCACTCTGCAGTACTTCTGGGGCTTTGAGCTCATGTATGCTGGGATCAGGTTTATTCCCTTAGTGCTGCTGCACGTGCTATGCTCCGTGTGTAATGAGTCGATTTTTGAGTCGACTCAAAAATCGACTCAAAAATCGACTCATTGCTGGGATCAGGTTTATTCCCTTAGTGCTGCTGCACATGCTATGCTTGAAAGAAGCAGCCACCGAACCACTGAATCAATGATCATCTCACCCGGCAGTACTTCTGGAAGAGCTCATGTATGCTGTCATCATCAATGATCATGTTGACATGCCGCCTCGTGGCGGAGAACCACTGCCATGGCCACATCAACACACACATGCATGTGCCATGCCATGCCATGCCATGCCATGCCATGACGTGCTCACCTTCACGTGCCATACACAGAGAATGCCCCAATACCGTCATGCCATAATCACACATCCCGTGATCACACCTTCCGTCGAACACATCACATGCCATATGCACATGCGGCATCAAAAAGACCTCTCGAAAGTAGTCAGATGAGAATGTGAAACGTTAGTCAAGCCTTTCCCGCATAAAAAACCCTGCGAATCTCCAGCCCTTTCCCAGTGACCAGTTCTGGCCCGCAGATGAAATTTTGGTTCTTCTACACGGGAAGAAGGAAAGTACTACTGAACCTTGCCCATCACCTGCGACCCCTTCCTCCTCTGGCTGAGCGACACCTTGGGCAGCATGTGCTTGAAAGTTATTTTTGAGTCGACTCGAAAATCACCTTGGGCAGCATGTGCTTGTAAGTTGACATAGCTTAGGCACTAACCCCGCCATAAGCCCTTCCTCTAATCTCTCACCTGCGACCCCTTTCTCCACTGGCCGAGAGAGACCTTGGGCCGCATGTGCTTGCCTTCAGGTCAGCCCCACCCTCTCCTGCCCTCACCCCCCCCTGTACCCTTCTTCCCCTCTTTCTGCCTTGCTCTCTCACCTGCGACCCCTGGCTCTATTGGCCGAGGGAGACCTTGGGCTGCATGCGCCTGTCATAGCCCTTAGACCCTGACCCCACCATAAGGCCTCCCTCTAATCTCTCACCTGCGATCCCATTCTCTCCTGGCTGAGCGACATCTTCGGCTGCATGTGCTTGCATGTGTGCCTCTAGCTTGGGCCCTAACTAACCCCTGCCTCGACCACAAACCCTCCCTTATTCTGTTACCTGCGACCCCTTTTGCCACTGCCTGAGCCATATCCTCGGCTGCATGTGCCTGCATGTGTGCCTCTAGCTTGGGCCCTAACCCCTTTTGCCACTGCCTGAGCCGTATCTTCGGCTGCATGTGCGTGCCGTAGCTCAGTACTCCTGCCTGCCCTCACCCCCTATTCCGTCTCTCCCCCCCCCCCACCCACAAAACCTCCTAGTCCTCACCCCCTATTCCCTCCTCTCTCCCCCCCCCCACCCACAAAACCTCCTAGTCCTCACCCTCTATTCTCTCACCTGCGACCCCTTTCTCAACTGGCTGAGGGAAATCTTGGGCTGCATGTGCCTGTCATAGCTTAGCCCCTAACACCTGCCTCCGCCACAATTCCTTCCTCTATCCCCTTGCCAATGACTCCTTTCTCCACTGCCTGAGGGATATCCTGGGCTGTCTGCTTTTTTGTCAAATCAAGTGCATGTGCTTGTCGTTGCTTTCCTTGACCTTCCCCTCACCTTCCGTTGACCTTCCCCTCACCCTCCCTTGACCTTCTCCTCACCTTCCCTTGACCCTCGCCGCTCGACTTTGACCTTGGGCCGCATGTGCTTATCGTAGCACCCTCGCCCTCTCTTGGACCCTTAACCCCTCGTCGCTCACCTTCACCCCTTCACCTCTCCTCTCGTGCCTCTTGAGTCGACTCAAAAGTCTCTCTAGCCTCCCTCACCTGCGACCCCTTTCTCCCTCGCCTCTCCTCTCGAGCCTCCCTCACCTGCGACTCCTTGCTCCCTCACCTCTCCTCTCGTGCCTCTTGAGTCGACTCAAAAGTCTCTCGAGTCTCCCTCACCTGCGACCCCTTTCTCCACCGCCTGACCGGCAAATTGGCCGACATGCTCTTGCCATAGCTTACCCTTCATCTTCCCTTCGCCCCTAGCCACTTCCTCACCTGCCCTTGTTTCTTCACCTGCCCTTGTTTCTTCACCTGCCCTTGTTTCTTCACCTGCCCTTGTTTCCTCACCTGCCCTTGTTTCCTCACCTGCCCTTGTTTCCTCACCTGCCCTTGTTTCCTCACCTGCCCTTGCTTCCTCCCCTGCCCTTGTTTCTTCACCTGCCCTTGTTTCCTCCCCTGCCCTTCCTCCCTCACCTGCGACCCCTTCCTCCAGCGGCTGAGCCGTATCTTGGGCAGCATGCGCTTGTCGTAGCCCCACTCCTCACTCCTGCACCCACCCTCTACCCCTCCCACATGCAACCCCATGGCCTTCACTCCCTTCCTCACCTGCGACCCCTTTCTCCAGCGGCTGAGCGGGATCTTGGGCTGCATGCGCTTGTCGTAGCCCCACTCCTCACTCCTGCACCCACCCTCTACCCCTCCCACATGCAACCCCATGGCCTTCACTCCCTTCCTCACCTGCGACCCCTTTCTCCAGCGGCTGAGCGGGATCTTGGGCTGCATGCGCTTGTCGTAGCCCCACTCCTCACTCCTGCACCCACCCTCTACCCCTCCCACATGCAACCCCATGGCCTTCACTCCCTTCCTCACCTGCGACCCCTTTCTCCAGCGGCTGAGCGGGATCTTGGGCTGCATGCGCTTGTCGTAGCCCCACTCCTCACTCCTGCACCCACCCTCTACCCCTCCCACATGCAACCCCATGGCCTTCACTCCCTTCCTCACCTGCGACCCCTTTCTCCAGCGGCTGAGCGGGATCTTGGGCAGCATGCGCTTGTCGTAGCCCCACTCCTCACTCCTGCACCCACCCTCTACCCCTCCCACATGCAACCCCATGGCCTTCACTCCCTTCCTCACCTGCGACCCCTTTCTCCACCGGCTGAGCGGTATCTTGGGCAGCATGCGCTTGTCGTAGCCCCACTCCTCACTCCTGCACCCACCCTCTACCCCTCCCACATGCAACCCCATGGCCTTCACTCCCTTCCTCACCTGCGACCCCTTTCTCCACCGGCTGAGCGGTATCTTGGGCAGCATGTGCTTGTCGTAGCCCCACTCCTCACTCCTGCACCCACCCTCTACCCCTCCCACATGCAACCCCATGGCCTTCACTCCCTTCCTCACCTGCGACCCCTTTCTCCAGCGGCTGAGCGGTATCTTGGGCAGCATGTGCTTGTCGTAGCCCCACTCCTCACTCCTGCACCCACCCTCTACCCCTCCCACATGCAACCCCATGGCCTTCACTCCCTTCCTCACCTGCGACCCCTTTCTCCACCGGCTGAGCGGTATCTTGGGCAGCATGCGCTTGTCGTAGCCCCACTCCTCACTCCTGCACCCACCCTCTACCCCTCCCACATGCAACCCCATGGCCTTCACTCCCTTCCTCACCTGCGACCCCTTTCTCCAGCGGCTGAGCGGTATCTTGGGCAGCATGCGCTTGTCGTAGCCCCACTCCTCACTCCTGCACCCACCCTCTACCCCTCCCACATGCAACCCCATGGCCTTCACTCCCTTCCTCACCTGCGACCCCTTTCTCCACCGGCTGAGCGGTATCTTGGGCAGCATGCGCTTGTCGTAGCCCCACTCCTCACTCCTGCACCCACCCTCTACCCCTCCCACATGCAACCCCATGGCCTTCACTCCCTTCCTCACCTGCGACCCCTTTCTCCACCGGCTGAGCGGTATCTTGGGCAGCATGTGCTTGTCGTAGCCCCACTCCTCACTCCTGCACCCACCCTCTACCCCTCCCACATGCAACCCCATGGCCTTCACTCCCTTCCTCACCTGCGACCCCTTTCTCCACCGGCTGAGCGGGATCTTGGGCAGCATGCGCTTGTCGTAGCCCCACTCCTCACTCCTGCACCCACCCTCTACCCCTCCCACATGCAACCCCATGGCCTTCACTCCCTTCCTCACCTGCGACCCCTTTCTCCAGCGGCTGAGCGGTATCTTGGGCAGCATGCGCTTGTCGTAGCCCCACTCCTCACTCCTGCACCCACCCTCTACCCCTCCCACATGCAACCCCATGGCCTTCACTCCCTTCCTCACCTGCGACCCCTTTCTCCAGCGGCTGAGCGGTATCTTGGGCAGCATGCGCTTGTCGTAGCCCCACTCCTCACTCCTGCACCCACCCTCTACCCCTCCCACATGCAACCCCATGGCCTTCACTCCCTTCCTCACCTGCGACCCCTTTCTCCACCGGCTGAGCGGTATCTTGGGCAGCATGCGCTTGTCGTAGCCCCACTCCTCACTCCTGCACCCACCCTCTACCCCTCCCACATGCAACCCCATGGCCTTCACTCCCTTCCTCACCTGCGACCCCTTTCTCCACCGGCTGAGCGGTATCTTGGGCAGCATGCGCTTGTCGTAGCCCCACTCCTCACTCCTGCACCCACCCTCTACCCCTCCCACATGCAACCCCATGGCCTTCACTCCCTTCCTCACCTGCGACCCCTTTCTCCAGCGGCTGAGCGGGATCTTGGGCTGCATGCGCTTGTCGTAGCCCCACTCCTCACTCCTGCACCCACCCTCTACCCCTCCCACATGCAACCCCATGGCCTTCACTCCCTTCCTCACCTGCGACCCCTTTCTCCAGCGGCTGAGCGGGATCTTGGGCTGCATGCGCTTGTCGTAGCCCCACTCCTCACTCCTGCACCCACCCTCTACCCCTCCCACATGCAACCCCATGGCCTTCACTCCCTTCCTCACCTGCGACCCCTTTCTCCAGCGGCTGAGCGGGATCTTGGGCTGCATGTGCTTGTCGTAGCCCCACTCCTCACTCCTGCACCCACCCTCTACCCCTCCCACATGCAACCCCATGGCCTTCACTCCCTTCCTCACCTGCGACCCCTTTCTCCACCGGCTGAGCGGTATCTTGGGCAGCATGCGCTTGTCGTAGCCCCACTCCTCACTCCTGCACCCACCCTCTACCCCTCCCACATGCAACCCCATGGCCTTCACTCCCTTCCTCACCTGCGACCCCTTTCTCCACCGGCTGAGCGGTATCTTGGGCAGCATGCGCTTGTCGTAGCCCCACTCCTCACTCCTGCACCCACCCTCTACCCCTCCCACATGCAACCCCATGGCCTTCACTCCCTTCCTCACCTGCGACCCCTTTCTCCACCGGCTGAGCGGGATCTTGGGCAGCATGCGCTTGTCGTAGCCCCACTCCTCACTCCTGCACCCACCCTCTACCCCTCCCACATGCAACC